TTCCTGCTCTCTCCACAGCAAATGGTTTTCCCCAGGCTGCTGCTGTCAACAAAACATGAGGAGAAGGCCTCTAGACTTGTGACAGTGCGCTCCCTGTCTGCTAGCGCTCGCAATAACATCCCCTGACTGCCTAATTCAAATGCAGAAGTTCACACGGTACATGTGTGTAGTATACAATAATCTTCTATTATAAGGTATTGATACAAAAAGCAATTAACTGGCTATTTCTACAACTCTGATACATTTGTCTTATAAGTAATTCAATCCAATACTGTTAAACCATTTGCACAAATCAGGCTTTGTCATGTCATTATTTGAAATAATGATTTTCCAGTAACGCAGCAAGGGGTTGTTGTGCATACACATTAGCACAGGGGCATTGCTAGAGATAAAGCTCTGCTGGGGCATAAGGCCCTCATTACTCAAATCACAAATATTTTTCTTGAAACAACTACGGGTAAAGGTAAAAAAAAAAAGTAGATATATTAATCTTTATGAAAATAATTCAACATGCATTAACAACATTATCAACATGTTTGTATGGCATAAAGGTCTGGTGCTGTATTCAACACTTTGTATTTTTCTGCATTTCACAGTAATAACTAATTTGACTGTCAAGCAGCCCTGGTTTGTCTATCAACAAATCATGAATAAATAAATAAAAAACCAATCTAATCATGATTTGTAACTCATAAAGCCACAGAACATATCAACTCTCCAATTACTCTGAAATTGTATTGTGCAGTGGATGTCTCCATAGAGGTCCCTGCACAGAATCTCTCTCCACACTTTCCCTTCCTGCCTCAGGTTCACTTGTTTGTTAAATGCTTATAAAACAAACATTATTTGGACTGTGTGACAAGAGCATGAGATATCTTAGACTATTCATTAAATGCAGTCTAACATTAATATAAGCCACTATGTGTTATGTACACTGACTGGCCACTTTATAGGTACAACCTGTACAATTGTATGCAATTCACTGCAACACATCAGCCTTAACATCTGTGTTTATGAAGCTCAAAAAGTTTGTTTTTGGTAAAATTGTCATAAATGTATAAATTCAATCATGTACTTATTGAGGTAATGGTTAAAGGTGGTGTTGTACTGGACAACAGTCATTTATAACTTTGACAGCTCCTGGGGGCCCTATCAGAAGCTCTGCACATTGGTACCCTCATGTTTTTTTTTTTTACATTAAGGTAAGATTAACAGGTCTTAATCTATGATGGCTATGTGGAAATACAAGTAAAACAAATCTTTAACAGATGGCAAAGCAGCAGGAACCTAATGTTAAAGATGATATTCACTACCAATATATTTTTACTTAAGGGAAATTTACCAGAAGTTAACATTCAATAAATGAATAGTTTCATGATACATGCTGTTTGTTTCTAACAAACAAATACACTACTAGATTTTTGACCGAGTTTGGGGATTTTGTATACAGGCCATTAATGTTACAAATGGCAAAAGAAGTGGAATGACAGACATCCACAGCTTAAATATTAAAGTGATTACTGCGGTAAATCCAACTTTATGTATTACTGCTACAACTTTACCAGAAAATTTTACATTTCAGTTCACGCATCTTGAGTTATACAGTATAATGGATGCTATGTTTGTTCTCATAAAAGCTAAAGATTAACCTGGATTTTTGAAGGAAGTTTAGTAAATTTCTATCAGCAAAAGAAAAAAAGCAGCTCATAAAGTGAAACAATGTGCACTGTCCTTGGTGCTAAAGAGAAGAAACCTGAACAACTTTTGACTCAGGAATCTGAAACAGTGACCTCAGCATCTAACCCTGTCCCTCTTCCACCAATAACAAATAGTCTATAGAAACATGCTTCAGCTTCACTTTTGTAGTTTTCACAACACATTTATTTCAGCTACAATTTTTATGAATTAAGATTTTACACACACAATGTGCTGAAGAAATATGATGCTTCATTAACAGTATTTTGACAGTTGTTTACATTTTTATGCCACTGTACAGGCACCAGCCATGGCTGGAAAAATAATTCTACATGGTGTCAACCTGTACACTTGAATTCAATTTATTTGTACAGTGCCACGTCACAACAAAGGTCATCTCAGGACACTACATAGTAAAGGTCCAGACATTACTATTATTATCATTATAATAAGAAATATGATAAGAAAACCACCAACAAATCCCCCTTGAGCAAGCATTTGGCGACAATGGGGAGGAAAAACTCCCTTTAGAGGAAGAAACCTCCGACCGACAGTCCCCAGCTCTTGGTGGGCGGCCTATTCCCTCGACCGGTTGGGGTGAGAGGAGAGGAGAGTTTTCATAATCATCACAAAAAATAAGGCAAACACACCCAAAGTAAGTGTTGAGGGTTGAAGATGGACTCCAAATCAAAGTCACCTTGCTGGCGTCTGATTCGAAGTAGAGCTCTGTGTCCTTTTTGGGTACCTGGTAGCGGGCAGAGGCAACAGTTTATGCCTTAAAAGATGATTAAAACAAATATTTTTTCTTTAAGTTATGTTGTGGGTCAAATTGACCCATTGCAAAGTAACAAAAAAAAAATCTAAAAACAATAGTTAAAAATATTTTATTGGTATGAAACTTCGTCTGCTTGGCTTAATAGGTGTGATCAACATATAAAATGAAAATGGTTCATTTCACATATTTGTAACATCCCCCTGCATGTTTATATTACAAAGATACTGTTCAGGTCAACATAACAGGACGGTTAAAAAAACATTCTGGGACTTTACGAACACTCCAAGCTCCGTTTTCCTGTAGGCAAAATTAAGTTGAACGCAATTATTTGCTAATTTCCTAGCATCGAAGTAAAGTTCTTGAAAAGGTGCCGGGAGAAAATCCGAAGCTCGAGCTGAGATCAAAGCGACCGCCGTAGCCGGGTACTTCCGGCATCTTGCAGCATTTTACTCCTTGCTGTCAAATTTCAAAACACCTCAGGCCACGCCCACTCCGTGCGCCACTTATTGAACTCCAACCAGGGTTTGTTCCATTTGCCGGTGCCGGTGCACCGCTTTTACATAACGACAAGGGCTGGGAAACCTGTTTAGTTAAATGTAGAGGCTGCACATGAGGCGGCGATGTGACGCCAAAATCAAGGCCAGAACTCTAGGGGCCATTTTACATCCCTGTTACAATGGCTTGCAGGGGAGACAAGATAACATTGATGGCCTCCAGCAGGTCTATCATTTCGCATCGAGTACCACTGCACCATCTTCTCCACTGGGTGTCTGCATACATACAACAGCAACACCTGTCCTTTCCAAGATTAAACCTAAACAAAACTTAACTGATTACACAGTAATATATTGCTATCACAGGAGGGACCAAAAACAATATTTTCATCTCCTTTAGTATAGTTCTACATATCCTTTTATTTATCATTTGTTTTGCTTGCTAGTCAATGCAGCAGGTGGTGCCATAAGGATCAGGACTGTAATGTCCCTGCTGTGCCAAGGGCCCTACAGCAAACAGGGATGCAAAACACCACACTCCAACCACCAGGAGGTGGGCATGTGATAAGGAGAACTTGTTTCTCAGGCCTCTTCTTTTTGGATGTTTAGACTTAGTGTCACAGCCTTCGATCTGCTGGAGTATGAAGTCCCTTTAGTGACTTACTGGAGATGACAGGAGACAGGAAATGAACAGAAGCAAGAACCTCTAGTATTAATTACATTAAGTTTAGTTAAACTTGTGTCTTTAAATGTAACTTAATTTAGCACAGTTGTCATAAAAGAAACTCTGGTCACACAAAGTACCAGAATAAAGGGGTGGAGGTACTGTATATTAGGCAGCAAGTGAACAGTAGGTGCATTCCCTTTGACCGTGCTGTATATGTGGAAAAGTGCAGTTTAAGATGTTTCCTTTGTAAAGTTGTTTTTTTTTTAACAGTATTTAGACTCACAGACATTCAGGATATGAGAAACCACCTTACCATCTCTTTCCGCACCAGAGCCAGAGCAGCATCCAGTCCACACGCTTTCTGTGGTTGTTGTTGTTTCCTCCCTTGTGTGTGGTAGAGTTCACTGCAACACCCGGTTCCTCCCGGTACTGACCAGCCCGCCCCACTGCAAGTTGTGTGTGGGGCTAAAGGGGAGACTGTCTGTGCTTTGTATGATTTTTTTTATCACATTTCTCATGAGCTACGTTTCAGCGTTTCTTCAAACAACTAAACGCTGTCACTCTAAAAATGCCCACAAGACTAGTCGATTGTTAAACTTGAACCACATTCAAAAACAATCATCTCTAAGACAGACCTGTACCAGTGCAGCAGTGGGAACTTGTATGCGTAAATATGGCTGTAACTCTAGTCACATGGCACATTTGAAAGACTAATTTTCATATGCTTATTAGTATTTAAAATTATACATGTTTAAATACATTTTTCAATTAATAAACTTAGCACCTTTTTGCATTTGGAAAACAATGAACTGCAGAACTCCTGAACAGACAAAGCTTTATTCAGGTACCCAATTAGAAAACTCTGACTTCCTTGAACAACACTGAAGATTGCTTTTACAAATATGAAGTGCTGTCTATTCATATACACTGCATTTTATTCTACATGTCTATAGTGAACAATGAGCCTGACTCCTGAATGTTACACTGTCTCACCAGACCCTCAGTGAATATCCTGACCATTATCATCATCATGAATCAAATATATTTACACTCAACACTGCACACTATGACGATCTCTGCATCACCAGGGCGTAGACACCAGAAATCTGGCCATCAGACTGAGCAGCAAATTGAAGAATGCAGACTTACAGTCTAGCAGCATGCTGTATATCAACACAGACTCTTCTAGTGCAGATACGCATATATACAAGCATGTGTGCGCCAGGATTTTAGCTTTTGTTCAACTTTTGTGATTTGCAAAGCTACACTGTTTTGGGATACTGCATAACCACCAATCAGAAAAACACCATTTGTCAATTCCCCATAAGTCTATGAATATCTGTTAGTATTATTTTTTTTGGCAGAATATAGATTTAATGGCCAGCTTGTTTAAATTAATACAGACAATTGCTGTACTTTCATAATTCTATGGTAACTTACAACCTAAAGCTGTTAAAAATATTAAGAAACCTTGTAACATATTTCTGGCAGCCATACAGCTAAATCATCTCAAGAGTAACCCAAGACCTGATACTTGAATCCTGTTTCAAATGCATTTTCTGACCAATTTTGAATTCAGCTCTAGGCAAGGAGTCAGTCACAGAGAGGTGCTGCAAGGCAGCAAAGCAGAGTCAGTATTCCAAGACAGCATTCCCATTACTCCATGGTTTCAACCAGTCCATGATAAAGTTACTGGCTGAGCTCCTTGAGGCTGCGCAGTGAATTGGCACAGCTGGCGATGAGGCTGCAAAGTTGGATACTTGCCTCCAGGGAAGGTGAACTCTGAAGCTGGGTGGTGGCCCAGCGAAGTTTGGTTAGAACAGCTTCCTCAGCTTCTTGCAACACAGGTTGGAGGGCAGTGCTCTGTGGACAAACTGGGGGTTGAGTGGGAGCCAGGGCTGTGGTGGAGGCAGGTGCTGAAGTTGAAGGGACAGCAGGTGGAAGTAGAGAGGCCCTTCCCCCTGCAGCAGCACCCTCACAGTGCTCCGGTCTGGGCTGAGGAACTGACACACTTGCCTGAATGCTACTGGGGACCCTGCTTAGCTCAGGGACCTGAGACGGTGCAGGGGACTGTGCTGCAAGCTGTCTTTCTCTAACCTGGGACAATGCTGCCTGTGCATTTAGAGCTGAGTAGAGAGAAGGAAAAAAGGGCGACATGGGAACAAGAGCAAGCAAAAGGCACACAGCAAGAGGAGTGATGCAGGGAAGGAGACAGAAGATGGAACAGAAGGCACAAATTATGATGGCTGGCTCATTCAGTGATTGTACATTAAATATGAGTATGTGAGTTGAATATACCAGGGTTGTCCTTGTCTATATCCGAGTCTAGCTCCTGGCATGATACACAGTAGTTCTTCTGCTGTTTGTTCTGCAGAAGAATCGTCTGGAAACAAAATAAACTTAGCTCAACACACACAGCAAACCAATCCACCTTTTCTACATCATAAAGGCACAACCGCTGTCACAAACCTATCACAGAAAGCCACTTTACTTACCCCACACACATCACAACATTCTCCCAGCATCTTGTATCCCTTGAGCAGGTAGTCTCCCATCAGCTTGCTGATTTTGTCTTGCCGCTCCCTGCGAGCTTGGATCACCTTCATCTCTGCCTCAGTTGGAGGCTCCCACTCGAAGTCCTCGTCAGCTGGGGTCAATAACAAAGTGCTGGCTTAAATGAGTCGTACATATACAGACACTTACTATTATGCTCACAAAATTGTTTGCTATGTTACTATTTAAAACCATTCCTTAGCACTGCTGTAATGTGCGCGTCCGTTTCTTTTGCCACTCTGTCTACGTTACTCGTTAGATTTTACAAGCCTTCTATATAGTTAAAGATATAGTTATCAGAAAATTAATTGGTCAAAGTTCTGCTGTTTTTAAAAGCGGTTAGCATAGCCGCAGTGCTCTAGCAATTCAATCGGGCTGTGGTCAGGCAGCTAACGACATTTAAATAGTAACGACAATCAATCTTTAAAACAATAAAATTAAACTAGAGAATCAATACATATACGTGCACCAAAATAGCACTTTATCAGCAAAGTAATAAACGACAGAAATATCAAAATTAGCTTGGCTGTAAGCTCGGAAGTTGACAAACCTCCATTCATAGCCATGTTGCTTCAGTAATACACGTTGTGCGTGATGACGTTGTAGTGGGTCTTCTTTTTCTTCTTCCTCCTGAGGTTTTATGGCGGTTGGCAAACAACAAAACGGTGCATTACCACCACCAACTGGAGAGGAGTGTGAATTATGAATCTTAACTACTCTCTTCTACCTTTTAACAATTAAACATTTAAAACAATTATAGTTATTTACGTCAATATTTAATATAATAACTTAAAATGTCTCTATAATTTTAGTTTTTCTTAAAAACTGAAACAAAAACATACTTCTACAGACCTTGTAGTAAAATATCACACAAATAAAACACCATGTTTTCTAAATTATCACAATTAAAAATTGCACCAGCAAGACATAAATGAACCAGAAAGCACCAATGCATTGTATTGCAATTAGAAAATAAATAAATAAACCTTCACCACAACAATTTTAGTTTTTAGTTATTTTATTGTATTTTGGGCTATTTGACTTCACCAGTCAAAAACACAAACTGATACATTTCATGGAAAGAATAAAGAGTCATTCAAAATTATTGATGAGTTTAATTCTATCATTTTTTTTAGTAATCCACAGCATTGTGGTGTTAGAGGCTTCAAACCCATTTTGTACATGTTATGTATGAGTTTTTATACAAGTCTTTACCTGTTGGATACGATTCTACAAAGCTCCCTCTACAGCTATATAATATTCATTAAACAACAAAGACAAGAGCAGCAAAGTCTGCAAGGGGACTGATGTTACATCTGTTTGTGTTTCCTTGGTGTGTTTTCATTGTCTTCAGCTGCTTGGTTATTGTTATGTCATTACAAGAGTCATGTCTGTCGTCGTCCTTGCTTTGTGTCACTTCCCCTCATTGCCTTGCTGTCATTATATGGGTTTCTTCCCAGCCTCCAGGGTAACATCTCTCTGAAAGGAAGTCCACACAAACGTAAGTTTATGTCACATGCAGCATGTAGTCTAAATTAACGCAGTTATCACCTTGTGAAACACATCCACAAAAATGCTCCAGTACACATATGACTATCACAGTGTTGATGACTGAACTTCATTTACTGCAAAGTTAAAAATAACTCTAATCTTTAAAGATATCACCCTGTCATTTATTTTTAATGCCCCTAAAGTTTTAATTAACTTTGGTGTTTTATTGTGATTTTATGGACAATAAGCAATAGCTGATTATTTATTGCACACATATAAAATGAAGGACACTAGTGTCAAATAACTACAGTATATTCACAGGGATGTGTGTACAGTATATTTGTTGTAGACGCTGTAGATTATACTTAATGATGCATGTATGTATCACTTTAGTGCTGCAGCTGGTAAAGGTGGGACGAATTGACACTACTTTGCTTGTGCCTTTCCCCTGGGGATAGATAAAGTTTTATCTTATCTCTAATAATGCATTTTAATGTATTTGTGGATTATATTTTGTATTATAAATGTGGCCCTGCAAAGTAAATTTAACAACAATTATAAAATGAATACAATGGAGTTAAAAAGTTCAATATATGCCCCTGAAACTGAGTTGAAATACAAAGTAGCATAAAATGGAAATATTAAAATGTACTAGTACATACAATATGATTTAGCACCAAAAATCAAAATTATTTTGCACTTACACTCAGTGCTGTCTTTACTCTGCTCAGTTTGAAAGGGAGGTTGATGTGAAAGGAGAAATGGTTAGGTCGTCAGAGGTGCATTGGTAGCAGTAATATATACTGTACAGTCAAGCAGGACACTTTAATGTGTATGGTGTTAAAACTACCTTCAGGCTTGGGGTGCATGAGCATCAGTGGAAGCTCCACTGTGACATCACTGTAGAGAAAACAAACCAGCCAATCACAATATTACAGACACCTGGCAACCACTGCTGATTGCTGATATGTATTATAATATGTGATAATACATAATGCTCCTTACCTGGCAGTGAGGCCACCCAGCAGGCTACAGGAGGACAAGTCTTAGTTCTTGTAATTCTGTTATATCTTTGATCAACATTTCTTGTGCTTAAAGAGGAACTGATACTTACCCTGCTCCACCCACCATGAGGTTGATTTTAATCTTGTAAGAAACCAGGATTCCCAACACCTCTTTTTCTATACCCCTTTTCAGGCTGTGACACATAAGAAAAGCTGTAAATGCGCTTTAGGTGAAGCTGCAGCCTCAGTAGAGAAAACATCTTCAGTTAATCTCTCTAATTGTCCAGACTTTCCAACAAAGGAATTACATGTCAATCCTACTTTAGTCCTGTCTGCTGTTTTGTGCACTTACAGAGTTGTGGAGGCCAAGTTAGTGTCCTCGTCCTTCAGTCGTCCATCCAATGCAAGACCTCTTTTCTCCTTGTTTTCAGTCAGCAGGGGAGTGATTTGCAGAGTATTCTCATAGGTGCTACTGGGATCCACTGTTTCTCTAAGGAGGATGAAACACAAACACATCCATAAACTACAAGCTTGTATTTTTGCTTCTGTGATAATTGATGTGTGATATTATCTGTGCACTTACCCAAACTCTTGGGTAAGAACAGTCTTGGTATATTTGTCTGCTGAGTGGAGGACAATGTCTGTGGTTTGGTCCACTGTGAGAAGAGACAAATAAAGACAGAAAGACAGAGAGAGGGAGACTAAATATTTGTAATGTGCTCTGAGTCACAATCATTTTAAAGTAGAATTTCTATTAACTGGGGTACCTACCGGTGATTTTGATTTTCTTAACTGTCTTGTTGCTCTCATTTTTGATTTTGATTTTGATTGGGATTAGTTCGCCATGAAAGTAGAGCTGCGGTCAAAACCAGGGGACAAGCAGTTAAAAGTGGGGAATAGTTATGGGAACACATACAGTTGGCCTACATTTAAACTCTCTGTGGAAACATTCACATACGTTTAGCAGACAGTGGAAAAATGTAGTATACATATGTTTGTAAACGATGAGAAGTTTTGCTACTGTACATCTTTCTCCATTGACGCTTCTAGATGAACGGGCTTGTCGGACATCATGAAGCTTTTGCAGATTTCAGCCTTGGGCCCAGCGCCCACCTGAAATGGGGCGTACTGGATTTTGCGAATGACAAGGCGAGCAGTGTCCCTGTCAAACAGAATAGGACAAAGGCAGGACGACGAGATGGGTGAAAAAGAGAAGGAAGAGAAGAGGAAATGTTAGGTTGGCAGAACACTAAGGCAAAAGATGACATTTCCAAAACGATGGTGAAAGTGACTGGGAAGTACTTCTTTTCAATCTTCTCATCAGGATTGGCCTTTTCCATGGCAAGATACGTTTTGACCTCAAAGTCGACACCACAAGCCTGCAAAGCAAAAACAACCCCTATAACAATTACCAGTGTCAAACAGTAAAATACCTGCCAACCCTAAGGCAATCTTTTCTTATTGTGAAGCTGGATGGTGTTATCAGATCTACAAGAGATTTACCTTCCCCTTGTCATCAGGCCCAGGCTGCAGAGAGACGGAGCATGGCAGGTTGTTGGGAATCTGGAGAGAAAGAAAAACGTTTGTAACTAAATAGAAGGGTTATTTTTATCTGTTTATTTACAACCCAAAGCAGAGTGTGCATTCAAATAGCTAAATGTGAATGACAATATGCAAGTTCAGATTCATTTATCAGCCTTTTTCAGCCAAATGTCCAGTTTTCATGTCCAAAAAAATTCTTATTTGCTACAAACTTTTTTCAAGCTATAATGAAAATTTAGGGATTAAACAGTAATGATGACATAGTTCAAAACTACTTCATTTATTTTTTAAACTAAGAATATATCAAACAAGCAGCTGGAGAAATCTCCCATGATGCCATGCCAGCATGTCATGGTCCTGGTCCCAAGTCTGAGGGTTTTCTTTAAATGTATTATCCAAAATAATTGTCAGTATTAAAAGGGAACAATATCATTTTCCACATAAATCTTGTGTCCATAAACACATTTTTATCAATCTGAACACAGAATGTGGAACATGTGGGTGTTGTAGCCGGACGTACTTCAAAGGTGAATGGGTAAGTGTTGTCCCCAGCCTTCTTCAACAGGGTTTCATGCATGGCGCTCAGAGCGGGCTTGTGGCTCTCAGGGTAGATCTGGATGTGGTGGATCCAGATGTCCTTCCTAAAGCACAGGCCTATCACATCCAGGTCGTCGCTACCATAACGGAAGGCACATGCCAGCTGCACAAACACTGTCAACATGAAACATTAGATACATTATGTTGAATTTTGCATCTGCAAAATGACTTGACTTTGGAAGGTTTTCTATTTTTTTTAAATAATGTTACCTTTCCTGTCTCCAAAATCAGTTGTGTCCAGCTTTACAACACCATCTGTAAAGGTGGTAGTATCAATGACAATGTCAGATTTATCATCCATGCAGGTGTATACACACACACACACACACAAGAGGAAACGTACCAACTCTGTCCACTGAAGTTATGTTGTCCACATAGTCTCTCTTCCCCAGAAAGAGGGTCAGCTATAAGACAGAAAAAAGGGGAAACAGCGGAGCATTTCAAACCCTATTGAGAGTTTCACAAATTTTCCACTGGTGAAAATGATTTTTTAAAAATATTATAAAAAAATAAAACAACCGATTTAATCCAGATCAGCACACGTAGACTTACCCCTCCGTTTCCACTGGTCTTCTTGAAAACCCTATCAACAAGTAAAGAGAAAAACGTCTCTTTCCATTTGGTTTTAATTTATCAACTCTTATTTGTTCATAATTACCCACAGAAAACTGACCCATAAGACTTCATTTTTTTTAGTAAGCAGAAGTGATGAGAATAAACTGTATAAATGAAGTGCTGAACACAGTTATAAGTATTTTGTAGTATAAAAAATACAGTAAGAAGCTTGCGAATGTAAATGACTCTCTGGATTAACCAGATATTCGATTTAGCCTGAAGGTAAAGCAGCTTCCTTTGCAGGCAGCAGAAGGGACAGTAATCCCTTGTTCTCTTTTATCTGGTTAAAAACAGCTTTACCTCATCCTGCCCAGATAAACAGGTTGGCACAGACAAGGGAGCAACAAATGTTGTGGCAGGGTTCACAAATAGCTGTTTACCTGTGTTACTGTCCGAGGCCACATTTGAGGTGAGACATCAACTGACTAAGCCTTAAATAAATACTTTAAAACTACTCGCTACTTTTAGGGGTCGACTGACCCAGGTCAGAGTCTGCAGGTCCAAACTAATACAGATTTAAGGTGATTGCAAGGTTGGTGTTTCACTTCTTTTCAGTGCTTCTTAGAAACAGAGACCACGCTTCCCATCTATATGCACGTTCTATAATTATATTTGGGAAACTGCAGTAGGAATAGCTGCACTATAACAAGAAAGAGAAACTTTTCTTTTCTTGAGCTTTGGTTTTTCAGTTTGGGGGATAGAAAGGAGATAAATGGAAAACAACACTTACTTTGCCATTTCTGGAATCTCTTTTGGAGTGTTCTGTTGGGAGAGAAGAAAAAATATGTAACTTTATGTTGTCAGGAGGCCACATCATCAATCATAAGTTGCAATTAAGACCCTGATCATTCAGTAACTGTGAGCTCTCTACTGGTCACTGTTTTGTTTTGAGGGTATGGGAGGTTAATCTTTTTGCAATAAGATTACACCCTACACATCAGTGTTAGAGATCCTGAGCTAAAGCTGTTATTTGCTATTAACTGCTACATCCAACAGACACAGATGTCAGATCAGAGTATTACTACCAGGGTTACATGGCATACAATTATGTCAGAGTATGTTCCCCTGAAACATACAGTGCCTTGGATGTTTTACCCTTTTATTGATTTTATAAATCAGTCATGGTCACTATAATTTGGCTTTTTTGACCAAAAAAATTACAAGAAAAATCCTCTCTAATGTCAAAGTGTAAACAGGTTTCTACAAAGTAATGTCAATTAAATACAAATGTGTAATGGGAAATAAGTGATTGCATAAATATTCACTCCCCTCAAGTCAGTATTTAGTAGATGCACATTCGGCTGCAATCACAGCACTGAGTCTCTTTGGATAGGTCTCAGTCAGGCTTGCACATCTGGACACTACAATTTTACTCCATTCTTTTTTGCAAAACTGCTCAAGCTCTGCCAGGTTGTGCAGGGATCGGGCATGAATGGCCCTTTTCAACAGCCCTTAGACTGCGGAGAAAAATCCAGGCAGGTACCATCTTCACTTCAGTCACACTTCCATCCATCTGCACATAAACAAGTCTTACCTCTTCTCAGTTGTCTCAAATCTTGGTACAGTGTGCCGGGGTCAGCTGAGATTGTGGTCTGCAACAGCTGATCTCCCTTTTTATACCTGCAGCCTCCCTCTGTGTATCGTTCGGGCTTAACCAGTTCACTATTGCTGTCCTTGCCTGCTTCATAATCCAGTTAACCAATCAGTGGAAAGCTTTTTTGGACTATAAAATGTTTAAAAATAACAGCCAGCTAAACCACAGAGACAGAGACAGACATAAAACAACATAGTCACCACGTGACAATGGTAGTAGTAGGCTGATAATCCCCATCTGTACCTCTACAAACCAGGCAGTCGAGGCTTCTTTACCTCAGAAGGCTGAAAAAATCAGAGTCAGAAGGGTTTAGGAATTTTCTGTGAGAGGGATCTCCAAAGAGACCTGGATGTGAGGACATGAGGTTTGCTGCTAGATGGATTAGTTGTGTTTAATAATAGCCATGGGAACTCCTATTATTAGTCTAATCTGTCCATGACGTGCATCAGTTTTGAACATGGAATCTTGCTGTGTTGCTAATTGGGAAGAATCTTATTTTTTCAACTTATTTACTTATGTTTTCAATGTTGCTCACATACACCAAAATTTATAGAGAGAAAACCTAAAGGTATATTTTTACATAAATAGATAACAGTAAATAATAGTGTTTACTTTAACTCATTTTAGCCAGCATTTGAATTACATACATGTATTTTTCAAGGAAACAGGGAATCTGATAAACAATTTAAAATCAACTATTGTTTGGAAATAAATGTGAGGATAAAATGAATAACATAAAGGGTTTAGTGAAGCAGTGTGGAGATTCTCAGTACTCCAGTGTGTCTGATCTCCACAGATTAAGCGCTTCCAGTCCCATTAAAGCACCGATGATGGGAGCATTGACAGCAGCGTTCATGTAAGATGCCTCAGTAACGTGCCAGAGATTAGGCAGAATCGCCAGAATGATTCTCCTTTGACCTTTGAAACCCCACAACTCCTCTGACAGGTCCATTGTAACAAGCTCATGTTCAAATCTTAAATTTGCAGAACTTAACTTCAAATCCTAGTCAAAGGCTAAAAAGATACTGAATCTGCCAGTCTGTTTTCCAACTGATGGAATGATACAGAACCACATGTAGAATATCTGATTTAACTCTAAAGATGCTGCACATAAGGGCCAGTTTAAAGGGATAGCTGACAATATGATGTGACAAAAGATTTTAGCTGGAATCAAGCCAAGGTCAGCAGAGTGACCTCTAAGCCACCAGGATGCCCCACATGGCAAGGATTATGAGTTCACTTAAGTCGTATTAGTTCACTCAAATGAAAATATACTGTGGAGGCTGTGTTATGTGAATGTTTTATCATTGCTCAGGTTGTTTTATTTTCACTGACATAATGGGAAAATGAAGGATAGAGAGAGGTGATTTAATGAAGCAGACAAACACTATGGTTGTACAAACCTTCTGTCTGTCACGGCACTGTGCTTATCTACATCCATTTTTAATCTGGACAAGTTAAAATAAAACATAAATAACAGGCTCAGGTTATATTGAAACAGGTCACTAATCACTGCTTCGTCTGCTGTGTAGTTTGCTTCCAGGAAACAATGTGGCTTCTCTGGCTCACAGCCGTTTGATTGCCAATCCCAAACACAACTTGACAGTGAGATTCTGAGATTCTCTTTGAGGAGGATCTCCCCATACAACCCATCACTGTGACATTGCCCTCATTTCATACAAAACTTCAAAATATTTGATATGAATACCTATTCATCCATTATCTATACTGCTTATTCCTGAATAGGGTCACGGGGGGCTGGAGCCAATCCCAGCTGACACTGGGCGAGAGACACTCATCTGTCTGAATACTTACTAGGCAAAATGGGGACCCAAATGATTTTTGATCACCACTAAAGTATCTAAATGTACTGGGAATTATGCAACCTATTTATAGTCAGCTGTCTCTGTGGGAACGTGGAGGCAACGTGATAAAATGCACTGAGGCTTGACAATAAGGGTCCAACTTTCTTTTACCCAAAGGCCCTCAGTGGTTTTATCTAAGTCAAAAGGTGAACCAGAGATGGCGCCTCACCAGCTCCTGTGATTCAAGCGCCATCTAGCGGATCCAGTAAATGATTCAAGGCACTTCTCCATCTTCATTTTAACTGTTTCATACTCCACTTAATTATGTTCTGTCATCAAATTACACAAAAAAAGTCATGAAATCGTTTTATGTTTATCAACGTGAAAACAACTTGTGCTTCATGTTTTACATCAGGGTAGTTGGTCCTTAATTCTTTCTTGGAAAGAACAGGCTTAAATATATCTATATACTATGATTTCACTGATGATAACATGGCATTCTGTGCAGCGGGCAACTTATTCTGACTTTGACGTCGGGTAAGTGAAACACACCTCATCATCCTGCTCCAGAGCAGATGTGCGTCTGCTGAGGTGCGCACTCAGCGCGCCGCTCGGCCCGCCCGGACACCGCAGTGTAGGTTACCGTGCCATCGCTGCGGCTGCTCGCTCCCGACACCGCATCCCGCTGCAGACTTCCAGGGCCATAGAAGAACAGGGGATCGCTGAAAGCCATGGCCGAGTTCAACCCGCTGCGGGGGTTCCCCCGTCTGCGTCGGGCCGCGGTAAGTTCCGGAAGGTGGGGAGGTGGGAGGCTTCAAACGGGGCGGCGAGGATACTGCAGCAGAGAGATAAGGAGAGGCAGGCGAGCGATTCTTAACACACTTCAGTACTACGACACAGAGGTTGTGTTCTCTGTGCAGTGCAAGCTACATCAGATATGTAACATGCCTGACAGTTCTGAGACTGGTCAGATTCAGGCAGTTCAGTGTAGAGTCTGCGCATTGGGCCAGGACAGGGCAATGACAAACATGATCATGTGTGTTTGTTGGGGCTGCAGAACAGCGAAAGGCTGTATCAGCGTTGGCACTGCAGTCTGTAACTATGGAGTGTGTTCAAGTTATGCAGCTTTATGTAACAGATTTGAAAATATGCTGTGTCAAATACTGTGTCAAAGACTGCAATCACCCATCACCACCCATCTTGGCTCCTCTGTGAGTAAATATCAAGGTTCAGTTTAGAAGAAAAGTTGCCATTATGTTTATACAAAAGCTGTGTGAATGTGGAAGAATGGGCAGGAACACTGCGTGGGCTGAGGCCCTGGGTGTCTGGTTTAAAGGTCTAAAAGGAAGTTGTGATGATTACAACACTAGAACTTAGAAATCTGCTTTTTGTAGCGCTGTTCACGTAAAAGCCCATCTGTGCTAAAATATGTGAAGCCTTGGTTCTGCAAAGTGGATAACTAATTTACCATCCTTGGAGGAGGAGAGTGAAGAAAATCTGAGTTCTGTGCCGTTTATTTATTTTGATCAGCAGACACTGATGTTGTTACTGATGATCATGTGAAAGCGTTTACAGATTTGAATGTTTGAACAGCAGTTCTAGTTGAAAACAGGCTAATCAGGGAAATTATCTATTGCAGAAATAAATAAAAACAGAGTTGTGAAGACAGAAAAATAGACAGAAAACAGAAGAAGTAATAAAGAAGAGGATATCAGAAAACAGGATTCTTAGGTTCACACTTTACCTGACCATGTAACATCTGGACAAAGGAATAGTGGAGATGATTGCAGTGTTGTGTTTGCAGAACTACATATTCTGTGGTACAAGGAATAAAACACGAGGGCAAGCAGACTGAAGACAGCTGATAATGAAGGAGAGCAGAGTGACAACAGAGGAACAGACCGTCAGATATGCTGAAATGACTTGAATTGACTCAGAGAGACGCCAGTGCTGTGTTGAACTTTGCTAGACTCCACAGAATCAACATTCAATCCTCAGCTCTGGTGACTGACAGTCTGTCTCCTCCATCTCTCCAGTCTGTGGAGTTCAGTTCACCACAATATAAGGTTGACATGAATAATGTTTCCAAAAGTCACTTAATCCTAAAGTCAGCCCCATGTTGGTCTGGATTCCTGAATTAGAATAATTTACACTTGTGTCTCTGGGTGAAAGAAATCAAAAACCACCTGCTGGTAGTTAATTGCATTAGGCCAAAGAAATTAACTACTTGTAAACAAACAGCATAAATAGACTTTTTTGACAGGTCACGGTAGGAAAAGCACAGGTGTTTTTATGGTATTGGTGTGTGCTGGCTCACTGTCACTCCTTCATGGGTTCTTCAGCCACTTCAATGGAACAGAACCAGTTCAATTCAAAATGGCTGCTCTGAAAAAAAAAGCACAGTAAAGCTTTTGAAAACGTCCAACAGGTAAGCCTGTGTGATGTTGGTGGTTTTCTTATAAAGATCTGTCGGTTGAGGTCCCAGTTTATTAATCTTTAAAGGCCCCGTCCGTCCACCCAGGTATGTGGCTTCTCTGTACACAGTGATGAACGGTGAAAGTTTGACACTAGAAGGCTGTTGACACAAACATCTGCTGAAGGGGGAAAGTTTCTCTGAGCTCTTCCTAAATCTCAGTTTAGCAGGCAAACATGTGAGAATGATTTGTGGCAATGACAACTAGTTTTAAAGCCCAAACCTCCAGTGCACACAAACACATTTGAAATTAATAGTTACATATTCCTAAATTCTGGATTTTTGCAGTAACATTATATTATCTAACAATATTATTAATAGCAATTGAGTAAACAAACAACATGACGTATTTATTCCGTCTTCAGACCTCATTTCCAGGTAACCTTCATCTGGTCTTGGTGCTCCGCCCTACGAGCTTGTTAAACTCCCCCCACAGTCCGTCGTCAAGCACTGACCTGGGATTTCGCTTCAGCCAGAGTGACTTCCTGTTAAAGATGCCGGTGAGACTGCAAGTCTGACATCTCATCTTGTCAGTATAACAAAGTATAAAGCTGGAGCCTTTAAAATGTGCACATTTTATGTAATAATCTCTCAAAACATTATAGTTCATGGGTATAAAACACTTGTTTCATTATTGTACACAAATACGGCAGAAAAACACAAGAAATAAAGCTATAGTAGAGTGTATTGGGAGTGATTTTTCATTTTTACTATTTTCATTGAAAGTGTGTGTATGTCTCCTAATCACTGAAAATATAATTTATAGTTTAACACGTATTTCAAATGAGACACTGTGGCTCCTCAGACTCCAGGATGTTAACATGTAAATCACAGCCCAGTACAGCTGGCTTCCTGGTGCGTGTTTGTGTTCTAGGTGGTGATGCTGCGTTCGGTCGGAGACCTTCTGCGCTACATTGATGAAAACCACCTGACATCAGACTTCACTGCAAAAGTGGAGTATTGCCAAAGTGACTGGATCGTCCTGCGCACGGTATACATGTACTTCTAATGCTCTAATGTCCAACTTCATGTAAATGTTCATTATTGCTTCATGTGTTTGTTATTCTCTGTGTGTGTTTGCAGTCTATTGAGACCTTTGCAGTGACGGTAAAGGAGATCGCCCAGCTGCTGCAGGGCTTTGGAGCAGAGCTGTCTGAGACAGAACTTCCAGATGAGGCTAATGCCATCGAGTTCCTGCTGCACTCACACACACACAGATATCGACAGATGAAGGTTGTCGCTCGCTCTTCTGTGTTGCCCCCGCCTCTCACTTCTCTCTCTTTGCATGCGCTTTGGGTTTGCATGGTTTCATGATTTTCCTTTTGTTGTTGTTGTTGTTGTTATTGGTGACATTGGTCCAGGATGATATCCGGAGTGTGCTGAAAGAAGGACGCCTGCTGCTGTCCAACCTGGAAACTGTCAAGGCCTCTAAGAGAGATGAAGAGGAGGAGAAGGAAATACAGGCAGATATGGACACCGTTCAGAGGTAGACTATCAGTGAATAAGTGAAGTACAGCATGAATACGAGACTTTTTAAATCTTCCATAGAGAAATTAATTGGAAACAAGACACATTATGAAAGATGGTACTGGAAGAAGGATGGGTAGATGAGAGGAAGTTAAACTTTGTTTAATGCAAACACTTCCATCTTACTAAGTTTGTTTGGAAGTCTGTGTGTCATCTACACACGTGTGTTTTAGGCTCCTGGCTCAGCTCAGAGATATGGAGGAGGCGTTTGATGGCTTCTTCGAGAAACACCACCTGAAGCTGCAGCAGTACCTCCAGTTGTTGCGCTATGAAATAAGTTTCCAGGAGGTGTGATGATTGGTCCCGTTCCTAAATCATGTCAGTTTTGACTTGGTGTCCAGCTGCTGTTATGATTAACTGTCTGTGTGTAGATGGAGGAGGTGCTGGAGCGGCTCATTGCCCAGGAGAAGGCGATCGGCTGTGTGGGAGCCACAGTGGTTCAGACAGAACAATTACTGAAAGAGCTTGAGACAATGGACAAACACGCTGAGGTCACAGACAAACACACAGCAACATGCTCATGACTAAGATGTGATTTGAAAGAAAGCAAAATCCATAAATAAGACAAAGCTCTATTTGGACTGTGAACACAGTGGCACAAAACTCAAAGGGCTCCTTAAGATTTTTTTTAAGTAAGCAAATCTTTAAAAAAGGAAAGAAAAGGAAAAGTATGCTTCTGTAAACTGTAAATCTCTTCCTGCAGCAGGAAACAAAAACCTTTAGACATTAAACCCAAAGAAAAATCAGTTAAAATCAATCTATTCAATATTACGCTGAGACTATGTAACTTCTGCTTTGGCTTCGATGGCCACAATCGGTGACTACATGTCCGGTGGTAATGCATACAGCTCAGCTCCTTTGATGACCAGCTAAGTTATGAATAAAGACTGAGGGCTAGAGGACTGGACCTTAACTGGATGGTAAATCATTAGCACCATCCACTGCTATGGAGTGAGGCCACTGATGTCTTTGCTTTTACGTTGGAACTGTTGTTCACACCTTGTTACTTGGGGACACACATATAACGCTCTCATCTGGCACATCTGGAAAGTGGTCATACCTGAATTTATTGACCAAAACAAAATCAAATTACTTGGACAACTAACTATTTTTAACAAGAAAGAAAAAAATACTTTCACTTTAATATAAGATGAGGTGTAATAAAATGTTGGCAAACTCATTCTGAAACCAAAACCCCAGCATGTGTGTGTGTGTGTGTGTGTGTGTGTGTGTGTGTGTGTGCACGAGCAGGAGAGGCCTCGCGCACGGGCTGAACCCCAGCATGTGTGTGTGTGTGTGTGTGTGTGTGTGTGTGTGTGTGTGGACCAGGAGGAGATGGCTCGTGCCCAGGTTCTGATCCTGCATGGTCACCAGTTGGCTGCCAACCACCACTATGCCCTGGTGCTCATCATCCAGCGCTGCAATGAACTGCGACATCACTGTGATGTCATCACCTCTGCCATACGCACCAAGCGGGCCTCGCTCACTCGAGCTCGAGACCTGCTGCATCGCCTCGAAGAGGTGAAACTGCTTTATGACACAAACTTACACATGACAAACCATCAAAACATTCACTGTTGTGTATTTTTGTTTCACTGTCCTTTCTTGTCTCTGCATTGCTTTGATTTACATGGCTTTTTCTATTTAAACCACAAGTAGTGTGCTTGCTTTAAAATCAACAATGCCACTGAACTCTGCTTCACATCCTAGACATGTGATCCTCAAAGACAACTGTTCCTATGTTTGTGTGTCATGTATGACAGAAGAGAGGCAAAATATTCAATGAACAATTGTCAAAATTGCTACATTTCCTCAGATGAATCTTCTTTGTTCTTTGTTTTGAAAAACATTCAAATTTATGTGTACATGTGTGTTTTCTAGTGTTGTGTCCTATGTATTTATGTGTGCAGGCCCTTCACTGGTGTGATGAAGGTGCCTACCTACTGGCGAGTCAGATGGTGGACAAGTTTCAAACCAGAGAGGGAGCTCAGGAGGCCTTGCAGTACCTACGCTGTCACCAGAAGAGGGCGCCATCTGCACTGAAAAACAGCCAGGACACTTTGAGCCTGGAGTTTGAAGCCATACTCACCCCACAGCTGCAGGTAATGCACCACTACTGGCACAAGCACACAGATGACACACAACCAACCCAAACTTAGACTTTGCTCTTCTTTATAGTCCCAGATTACCATGGTAACAGAGAAGCTGACCTCGATGCAGTCTATGATCAGAAACAGAGAGCAGTGTCTGAGGAAGCTGGCGGATGTGCAGGTCAGGCCCATCCAGCTGGTGGCACCCAGGCCCGAACCTGACCAGACCTTGCAAAGCTGCAAGTCACCCCTCTTCTCTCCCAAACATGGTCCGAACATCTTAAATTGTCCCTTTTCCTCACATCAGTCATTTTGTCTTCTCTCGTGGAACTAAATCAGAATCGATTTCCAGTGCAGAAGGTTCTGGCATGGAAAATATTTTTTTCCATTTTATTTCATATTTGTTTTTCTATAATCCTCCTCCTACTTGTACTCCCTTCTCATGGCATTTGACACTTGCACCCTCTGTTCTTCCCTCTTAGATATCTCATATACTTTTTACTCTGTTCATATTTGTATGTGACTCTCTCTGCAGGTGTAGACTTTAACGTCCTGAACTCCAGATTCTCCTTTGACTTGCTTCCTGGCAAGAGAGCCGCAAGGAGGAACAACAACCAGCGCAAGGTGTGTGTGTTTTCTAACAGTGTGATCAACTGTGCTGTCACTAAAGTGCTAAATATATACACTAGACTTTCTACCACCTGTCATGCATGACAGTGCACCATTACTGTTTTTTCACATTGAGATTTTTGGCCATATTAAAACATAAATAGGGGTATACAGTAAATACTACAGTCAGTACTTGTCACTGGTAATACTTATTTTTGCTTACATTTACTTATTTGTTTACTGGGAGTGTTAGTAGTTGTTCTTCTAGCTTAAACAGAATCTACAGCTATGCTCTCTAGACTAACATCAGCATGATAACATGCTTAGAATGAGAATGCTGCCATGTCTGTATTTGGCAGGTTAATGTTTACCGTGTTTGTTATGTTGGTTTAGTGTATTAGCATGCAGACATTTGATAATTACCACAGAGTTTAACACAAAGTACAGCTGAGGCTAATAGAAATGTCATATTTAGGCAGGTAGTTGGTTATAAACAAGTGTTTATTATAAACGTATGTACCAAATGTCATGGCAAAACATCCAGTAGTTGTTGAAATGCTTCTTAAAAGCTCTAAAAAGCCAACCTCACAGTGGAACTAGAGGAAGAGATAGTGGATCACTACAGCAGGACACATTATCTGGGTAGCACTGCTGTATTTGCCAAATTTTGTGCCAATCTATCAAGTGAAAATGTCGAGCTGCTTGTTGCACAACAGGAAAAGTCAGGGGATCACTAAACAGTAGGATTCATCCTCTCCAAACCATAAATATCTACCAAATATGCAGCGTAATGCGATAGGTTAAAAATGGCAAAAATACCGCGTCTAAGCTGAGAGACTTGTGTCATGTGTGCTTTGTTAGATCGAGGTGATGCATGATTACCAAGGCAACCACAGCTGTCTGTATGGCTCCAACCCTGAAACAGATCCAGAGGCAGAAGACAATCCAGAGCAGGTTACACGGTATGTAGTCTGTCACCTGATCTCAGACCTAAAGCTCCACCTTGACCTACAACTCTAATCTTGCACTGTTTGTGTTTTAGTCTGCAGCTGCATGTTTGTGACCCATATACAGTAGGAACTTTTCATTCAACAACTTTTTGTGCCATTCAGTTTTTGTCTATGATTTTCTCCTTCTCACTCAGCCATATTATGAAGGAACTTATAGCTACAGAGAGAATCTATGTGGATGAGCTCCTCTCTGTCCTTCTGGTGAGTTTATTTGTTTATGTGTTTATTTTAGCTTTTGCTGGGAAGTTTACACTGCAGAGCAACAGTACATATTTAGAAGATGTCTTGATTTGACCAAGGTTCCCCCCTGCTGGGGAGTTTATACACATACGTTTCTTGTTTCCACCAAAAGAACCAAAAGGGACAGGAACCTTGTGTTTCCAAAGGAGGAACCAGGGTCTAAGTTCAATTCTGGGGTATTGTTCCACCCCCCAGCAAAAGTCCCTAGTCACGGGGTAATACTTTCTGAAGGTCCAAGAACTATCAGAACAAGAACTGCCCTGATTGCTCTCACTGTGAATGTGTTCGTGTCCAGCAGATACATTCATTTTCCAAAATCTGTCTAGTTCTTTGCTTTGTTTCACTCATTGTTCTCTCTGTCTCTCTTTTTTTTAAATTAAATTTTCTTTCCTCCTCTCTTCTGCTATCTTCTCCTCTCCATATCAGGGCTACCGGGCAGAAATGGAGGACCCATCCATGTCTAATCTTCTTCCCTCAGCTCTACGCAGCCAGAAGGATGTTCTATTTGGCAACATGCCAGAGATTTACCAGTTCCACAGCAGGCAAGCCACACACTCACATACACACGCACGATGAGTTCACAAACTGTCACAGAGATGTCCCTTTTCTCCTCCTCTCTTCATACCAGTCCAATTTCCTCTCATTTTCCTCCTGGGTTATCCATTCAGGATTTTCCTCCAAGATCTACAGGGTTGCCTGGAGACACCAGAGAGGGTGGGAGCTTGCTTCCTGCAGCGGGTGAGGACACATGAAGAGAAACATGGGAACTTAATGTGAAGCAATGTGACTTAACATATCTAAATGTACATTTATGTGTGTGAGCAGAAAGAAAAGTTCCAGGTGTATGAGCGTTACTGCCAAAACAAGCCGCACTCTGATTTGCTGTGGAGACAGTGCTCTGACTCACCCTTCTTTCAGGTAGGTGCACACTCTATGTTTAATATGATAGATACAGCTGTTGATTTTGTTATTTTCAGGAAAGAATTGTCTCTTTCTTTCTCTTTTCCTCTCATGCTCTCTCTCTCTCTGCAGGAGTGCCAGAAGAAGTTAGACCACAAACTGGGTCTGGACTCTTACCTCCTGAAACCAGTCCAGCGCCTCACCAAGTACCAACTGCTCCTCAAGGTTTTGTACATCTAAGCCAGTCGGGGATGGAGAGTCCTCAAACAATGCACCTCATACAATGACATCAGTGTTTTGAGATTACATGTTCATCATTTCAGAAACTCCTCACATCTATTTTGGATTGTAAAAAAAAAAACAAAACAAAACAAAAAAAACAAGAAACAGCAATTTTTCAAAAGATTTCACACTGAATGATTTTCATAAATCAGTGTTTATCATGGTGAGATGAAATGTTTCAAAACTTAATCTGCTTCTTTTCTGCAAAATTAATTGCATGTTAAGACCAAACCATTTAAAGTATCACATTATGTATCTGGTGAATACAGTAGCTTTAGTAAAGTCATGAAAAGATGTTTAACTTTACATATGGTATCAGCTTTGTAGAAGGAACAAATGTGTTTCAACCACTGACTGTAAAAAAGATGGACAGGCTGACAGCTCCCAGAAATGAAGTCACCAAAATTAATTGTCCCCTGGTGGCTGGTCACAGTATAGGTTATAAATCCTACCTCCGCTGTGTTAGTGGATGGGACATGAACCAAACTAAAACACAACGTACAAATCAGATAATGTTTTCCCAGACGTTACTTCTATGGTTTTTTGGTAGACATTATCACTTAGATGTGTGGACAAGTGCTAATTTTCCTGATATGTTTTTTTTTTTTTTTAAAAGAGGTGTATTTCAGTTGATTTGATAGCCCAGTGCTGTCACTCCACTTCTGGTTGCTGCTATGCAGAATCTGGTAGCAAAAAAAGAAAGATGGCAGCTGTCATGTTCACAATATTTTGGCTTCGCTTTTGCATAGTGGAGGGAAGTGGTGACGCCATGTTTGTTGTATATACAGTATATGTCAATGGTTTCAACAAAAATGTTGCTAAATTAATTGTCTATAACTGCATAGAACATACTGCCTGAAGTGCTCTTGACCAAGGAACTCAAAAGAAAAAGAAAATGTTTGAGCAGAGATCAAAAAAGTGGGCTGAACTTTGAACTGAAGGTGCCGCGAGCTCAGTGCACACACACACACACACACACACACACACACACACACACAAACATAATTTGTTTTTGCACACTGTGATGAGTAGTTTAGCACTGCTTTAGTAGCAAAAAAAGCCATGTGGTCAGTCTGTCTATACAGTGATTGATTTAGTTTAGTAAAAATAAATATTGCATTTAGACTGATGAACAGATAAAGGGGTAGTGACACTGACTACCAAACAAGGACCAGACACACTGAGATGCAGACAAATAACTGTGGCCACATTTTACACAGAGGCAAAGTGACAGCAGCAGATAGATGCTATTTATCCAGGCAAAATGGATTTGTGGTTTGCAGACAGTCATTTAAGCTTACACACAGATGTTCATGCAGGCAGGTCAATTCATACTAGATTACATGAGCTGAAAAACACTGACCAGTCAACATGTGTCTCTGCTCTTGTTCAGGAGCTGCTGAAGCACTGTACAGAGGAGCGATACCGCTGCGAACTCCAGGAGGCTCTGGACGCCATGCTGGAGCTGCTGAAGTCAGTCAACGACTCCATGCATCAGATAGCCATCACTGGGTATCAGGTACCAGCCAGTCCAATCTATGATTAAGCTAGACTGGACTGTCAAGTCACTGGATGCCAGATTTATCACTTTCCTATCAAAAACAGGTTCAACAGAAGCTCTCATTACTTTGTCTGACTACAGGACAAGTAGCGACTGCACAGTCTTTCATTTATCCTGGTTCTGCTTTTCTCATTTAATCTGCAATACTCAGATTCATGCTTACTGGCCAAGTGTGTTTAAACACACAAGGACATTTTCTCTGGTACAGAGGCTCTCAGTGTGCTTCTACAGTAGGTCAGGAAGAAAAATAGCAAACTACATGCATTCAAAATAGGAAAGAGAATAGGAGAAGAAAAAAGGGAGCAAATATATATATACACATGTACATGCTTTGGCAGCAGAGTTTGTAGATTATTATGTATGATAGTAATATTTACAGTTTTTTGCACAGTTTTTCTGTTGTGCAGACATAGATTAACTAATAATATGTTTCCCATTTACTCTTATTTCCCATTACTTCATGCATAAATTGGCAACTTGCAGCGGTGGTCATGCATGGCCACCACATTGCATAAACACAGTCATACAAATATCTTGGTGTTCATAGACAGCAATTTGACTTGGAACTCTCTTGTTGATTATGTCTGCTCACACCTGCATCTATTATTAACACTATTATTCTTATGGTTTTAAGGTGTGGACAAAAAAAATCATGTTGTTTTGCCAAACTGTGCTGGAAAGTATAATTTGGTATGGGATGACCGCCTGGTTTGGAGCTATTGTATATACAGTACAGCTATGGAAACAATTGGTTATAAAAACTCTGCACAGCCTTTAGACTATCTACGAACAGTGTCTCCTTTCACAGGTGAGAACAATTATAAATCACCATTCCCACATTCTAAACAACAAATTTGAGCTGTTAGCCTCCAGCAAATGATATAGAGTTCCTAGATGTAACCTCAACCTACACAGGAACTCGTGAGCTTCTGTAGCTTCTGTTAGAGTGCTGAATAACCTCAGTAGTACTAAGTGACCTGAAATAGGTGGAATTCACTGTTAGGTAAACTGTTACCTTTCTCTTTTATGTACCTTTATCTATGACTTTTGATGCTTGTTTGTGAAATTCTTATGATGCTGTAACTTGATGCCCATGACACATTTCCCTAAGGGGACAATAAAGTATACATCTATCTACATGTATCCCCAACTATGAAATGAATCTCTAACATTTTATGAACTTGGAGAATTTTAAATCAGCTAGCTTTCCTTAGTGTTGAAGGAACTTAAAGTTAAAAATGTCATTCAGTTAGACATTTTTTGGTTTTGTCTCTTCAGAATATAGACAACATTAAATGTTCAAAATATAGTATTTCCACTATTCAGTAGCTAGATAGTTTAAAACAATCTGCATCATAAAATTTTACAAAACTTTACTTACATATAATCAAAACCCATAGACTGAAGTATAGTCTTGAGTCACATAGTAAACCAGTGAATGAAGAATAGTAAATCAGTTGTTGATAGTTGAAGTGTAGCCCATATAAAACATTTTGTGTGGCACTAGCATCTTAAACATAAATATAAAGTGATGAATTTCTCAGTTCATAGAGTTTTTGTTTGGAGGTACAACTAATTTATGTTACTGTCTGTCTGACTCAGGGTGACCTCGGCCAGCTGGGCCGGGTGGTGATGCAGGGAGGCTTTAGCGTGTGGATCAGCCACAAGAGGGCAGCGGTGCGAATGAAGGAGCTGGCGAGGTTCAAACCCATGCAAAGACATCTCTTCCTCTACGAGCACGCCCTGCTCTTCTGCAAGCGCAGAAACGAGGACAACCACGACAGGACGCCTTTCTACAGCTTCAAATCTTGCCTCAGAGTAACAATACATAGTATACTCACTTTATTGAGTGCATTTATCTACTTCCAATGCAATCCAGTTCTGCAGCCCTACAATAAATCCTACCTTTATGACTTTACGTTTACCCAGTACTGACTTCATTTCAGAAGCTGCAGCATAGAGAGCCATTCATTTGTTTCGCCTACTTTTGTTAGACCTAAACCTTAGTTGCAAGTTTATACTGAACATTACAATGCACAATCAGTAACCATGATAGGTTATAATGAAATGTAATGACATTTATTTCTGTAGATGAGCTCGGTGGGAATCACAGAAACTGTGAAAGGAGATGTGAAGAAATTTGAAATCTGGTACAATGGCAGAGAAGTAGTGTACATAGTGCAGGTATTTGACCCACATTTTCTATTTTCTGACTAAATGTGCAGCTTCAGCAGCTGAACATTCATCTTTTTCACACACGTCTCTGGCGTAATCGTTTCATACTGTGCTCTAGGCTCCCACAGTGGAGGTCAAAGTGGCCTGGTTGACGGAGATTCGAAAAGTTCTTACCAATCAGCAGAAACTGCTTCAAGGTTTCTAACCGTTTCCTTCTTATTTTGTTTAACTTGGTTCAGATTTATGTGAAGATGTAATATACATCTGTTTTTAACCTCTTTCGTTGTCATATGGTCTTTGCTGTTCATGCTTGGATGTTTATATGAAAGTGTTATGGTAGAACCCAGCCTGTTTGTGTATTTCAGTTTTTGTCAATTTAAGCCTCTGTGTCAACTGTCCCTTCTCCTTTTCTCAGATGAGGCTCCTCCTCTACCACATTCAGACAACCCCCTCTCTGTCAGGTGATTCTTTTGGCATGACCTCCCTACCATTCTCCAACCAGTCTGTGACCCCCTGATGTGTGGTGGTGACAATGGGTCAACTCATGTGTAATCTAGCCAGAGATTTGTTTGAAAGCTTGATGATTTAAGGAAAGGGCCTCTTTCATTTACAGTGCTTATGATGGAAATTCAATTAGATGATCACTTAACCCATGAGTTTCACCCACATAACAATAATCAGATGCTTTTTAACAAAACATTCTGATTATCTGTAAGCAGAATGTTAAAATTACACATTTCTATGTATGCAGTGTGTGTATAAGGTCACTCGACCTTAGAGGACATGTGGACATGCAAAGCATGAATTGACTCTGAGCTTGTTTTGTCACACCGTGGATGTTGTTGTTGTTTGTTTTGTTTGTTGTGCTTGTGTCTTGTTCCCATGGTCATGCGGTTTAGTGCATCAGAGATGTGTGTGTCGTGGGGCAGACCATCGGTGGGAGGCTGTTCAGCGTGTCTCCCTGTTCCTCACAGCTCCTCTACAGCAAGCCACCCCCACATGTCCAGGGAGGAGGAGTCAATACACAGTAGCCCCGCCCACTCAGACCCCGTTGTTCACTCACCTCGACGCAGTGAGTCCCACAAGCTGATTCAAACAAAAGGCAACCTGCACACAAAAGTACAAGAATCTATTGGCTTTTCCAAAAGCACAGTGTTTTATTTATGTTCTTTTAAAAACTTGGCTTCTGGTTCATTTTTCTTAAGCCAGATCTTAAAGTTGTCTTTTAACATACTGTAAGATACATAGGGTAAAATATAAACTACAACAAATATAAACAGACATATGGTAAAAACCTACAACACGGTTATCAATGCAAGCACACTCAGTGGGCAGTTAGACCAAGACCTGCATTAAAGCCTCTCTTCATGAAAAACTGTTTCTAGAACAGTTTTTGTTCAAACTGTTTTAGAAAGGTATTGATTTAACAGTATGATCATTTTTGAAAATGTAGTTTGTGCTGGTGTTGAACTGTTCTGCATTATACAAAGAGGTGTTTCCCTTGCTTAACCTAGTCTCACAGATATAAATGGGACGGAAAAAATAGAAACAGCAGTTGGTATAATGCATTGCCACCTCCATAAGGTTAGGATTTATTCTAGCATGCTGTCACCTGCAGGTTGGCCTGTCCCTGCCCACTCAGTAGCGATCTGTGAGGGCTTGGAGGACTGGGGTGCTACAGACCTCTCCAACCAGTCAGACTCAGAGGAGGAGGATCAGCCTGCCCCCCTGGTGAGGTTTTGTTACCTTTAGTGGTCAGTGTTACTTTGCCTGTGTAAGAGAACTGTATATGGGGCAAGCAAGCAAAATGATTCATCTTAGGTATAGGAATTTTTAATAGTTGTTTTTATATTTATTCATTTTCTGCTGCATTTTTTTATGTTGGTGATGAAATCCTAGTGTTCTATGGGCTAAATACAGGGCCAGTGTGAATGCACACCTGTCATGCTGGACATGACAAATATATCATTTAAAACAGCCTTCTTCATGGCTGTCAAGCAAACATTTGAGCTCACATCTCACACCTGATAGCAATCCACGATCAACGACATCATCAGTAGATTCACACAGATGGTTCTGCGTTAACACCATTTCAGGTGGCGGGCAGGTACAGAGTCCTGGTAGAGAGCAGCATGGCCAGCACTGATGACATCATTTTTAATTGTGGCGATATCATCCAGCTGCTCCATGAGGATTCATCAGGAATGTGGTAATGTGTTTTAGAAATGTTAGTTACAGCCACATTAAAACTCAGATGCAAACAAGGCTAAGAAATGAAAAGGGTACATTTTGTGTGACTGTGTTGTGTTGCACAATTACAGGATGGTGAGGAATGTAAGTCGTGGTGAAGAAGGGCGTGTTCTGCCTGAAGACCTGCACAGGATTCTGGGAGAGACCTGCTGACAGCCAAACACGACAGATGAGGCCCGTTCAATCATCATCAGTTTGAAGCACAACATCGAGCCCGTACTTTACCCTTCGAACTAATGTTCACTTCAGAAGGTTGTAACTCACAGAAGGGAAGACTAACAGTGCACAGCGATAAATGGACCTCACAGTACGAGAGCCTTTATTCCCCTTTATCTACATTTTCCAGCATTAATACAGTAGATTATCTTGACCGAAGACACTGATCAGGGTCTTTCATTCATAAACAGAATGGACTTTTGTTTAGGACCTCAAGTTTTATCATTTGTATTTTTTATGAAATACCATAGAAATACTGCATATGACTACCAACATATCATCACTGTTCATGTGCCAAACAGCTGAGCTAATTGTTGTGGCTTCTTTTTGTATACAGTAACACTGTCTTTAATGGAAATTAGCTTTACCTTTTGGTGTCGTCATTTTGAATGAATTCAAATAGTCTTTTTGTCCTACAGCAGCTCAAAGCTGTGCATGTTACTGTATGCAGAAATTGCCGTGATTCCTCCACCTCTTTGTGGCAAAACCAAGCAGTCTGCATTTTCAAGAAACAAAAAAGATAAGCACATGGAAACAAACTTGGAAACACTGAGCCAAGATATTACAGGTCCTGCAGCTCTTCCATTCATAGCAACCATGGCACGTTTGCTCTGTGGTGTTGGTGAGGGCTGTGTAAATATGTAGAAGTGGTGAGCTTGGCACATACTTCAAAAGCATGCTCATCTGCCTATTTATTCTTTACTTTTACTGCCATTGATGATGGTAATCTTTTGTTTTGGTTAGCAGTGTAATTTTGAGTTTTGATTGCTGAAAATTTTGAAACTTGACCATCAAACAAATCTCATCCTCCTCTGCTGCAGCTGTAATTACCACTGTTACCAGTGAGACGAGGCAAACTTTGTTACCCTTTGTTTGCCATGTGGAAACATCACTTCACATGCTCACTGCTTTATATCTGCCTGTACTGCTATTTTACACCAAATGTGAAATTATGCTGTGTTGGGTAGTAACTGTAATTCAAGTAGTGTA